GTTTACTTCTTACAACTAAAGAAATTAAAAGCACACAAAGACAGTGAGACAAGAGCGAAATTCTACGAGACAAAAACACCAGTGAAGAGATCTACAGTTCGCTGACAATCTTCTGCAGCTGGTACTCCAACACGCTTCTCGTTATTCCCGTCTGAACTTCGATCACGACCTCCAGTCTAGAGTACTTCCTGCCGTGCGCCGATACAACATTTTCTTCGCTTTCAATCACTGTGGCGTAATTACAGTTCTTGTTCTTGATGTACTCCATATTAACCCCATGATCTGCCCAGCGTAGCTTCACTTCATTCTCTGAATGTCCGTAGGGTTCAAAAGTAACTGTACAGTTGACAGTTCCATTCTTTAGGTAAACCGAGGTAAGGCTGAGAGGACAGTTGAAAGAACTTTTTATGAGTCTACTCAAAACCAGTTCCCCATGTGGAAGTATGGTCAACGCTCCATCATGCTCTGTCTTGCTCTGAATTGCAGTCGGCGAAAATACGTCAGGCAACCAAGCTTTTTCGCTTTCCTTAATCTTTATCGGAATCGTCGTCTAAAATTTTACTTTGATTAAAGAAATTTTATATATTAGACAAGTCAGCGACTGTTAAACAAATTTAACAGCTCGTAGTGCGTAAGACTACGTGAGATCAGAGATACATAAACATTTGGAGCTTTGTCGCAATCTGTCACGAAAAATATACAGTCTTTCTGATGGATACGAAAGACTTTGATCTGAGAATTGTTTCTTAGTCAATAGTCATCAGAGAAAATGATATTGAGTCCCAGACTCGTGCGGTATGGATTATGGACGAGTAAATTTGACTCAGTTCGGATGGAGTGAAATTTGTCAATGTGTGTGGGTTGACCAGCTGCGTTATCAAGCTCTAGCAAGGTACGAGATTTTATATATTCTGTCTCTAACATAACTGTTTTCAATTAGAATAAGGCATTTCGAAAGTAAAGTTTAAAAATGTGAATATTGGACTATTCTATTAATTTAGCATTCCTTATTTGGTCTCTGTTCCTTCGTTTTTTATTTTGCCCGCTTTCTTACTCTTGTATCAGAAAGGCAACAAAAGTCACATACAACCAGAGTCTAGAAACTGAAACATTGTCTAACTAACATCGCTGGAACCTGAAATATATGTATTAGATTTGCATTAAATTTTCTTTATCATGGTAACAGAGTTGTAATTTTAAGGGTTTTAATTGATGTTTTATAATGATTTATTTTTCATTTGCTGAGATGCAGTGACTTTGATAGTTAGCTGCTGCAGAAGACCCATGACTGGAATTTACTGATTTTCATATAGTCCTAATTCTTTTCCTGTCTCACTCAAGACGTTTCTCATATTCTTATCGTTCAGACTATGCTACATCACGAACTAACGAAAAATTAGCATGCCAACAATTAGCTTTCACTATGAGAAATGCTGGTGGGATTATCAAATTAACGTCTTTCACTGATCATATGAAAATAAGCTTGGCTTGTTTTTGGCGTTATCTTAATTCATTTGCGATTTTAGCATTTATTATTTTTATTAGCTAAGCGTTACCGGCGTTGTCTTAGATTTTTAGGACCATCAGTAGTAGCACCATGGACGAGTATCCTGATTACTAAGATTTTGTGTCTACCCTGTCCCAATTGTTACACAAAGAGCTGTGCAAAACGTGCACCTATAGGCCTCATTGACTCGAAGGATACTTCTTCAGTTCCTCCCCCTGGCGAATGGTCAAAAGATGCGTACTTTTCTAGGCGGAATTAACTCCCGTGTTGAAGGGGCGGGCCCGTCAGTCTTAATATCATTCTTTCGATAGCCGTTTACTTTCCTAACCATGATGATCGTTTTCATTCTTAAGGCTCAGTTTTGGTTTATGTTGCATTTGGTCACTGATCTAAGAGAAAATGGCTATTTTCTCACTACTGTTTGGTCCGTAGAAGCAAAGATAGCCTCGTTGCATTCACCCTTAGATTTTGCGGATCAGTGCTGCGTCGGCTCAGTGGCGCAGTATCCGTGAAGTGGGTGAAAGGTTAGATTTAGGGAATGAATCTTAGACAATAATTATAGAAGCTAAAAATGTCTTACGTTTGATTGGAGCCTTTCGTCGACCCATTTTTCTCGCAGAAAGTACAGAATGTGCATCTTGTTTCCTTTCCATGCGAGTTCCATGACGTCCATGCTCACATCAATAACCAGTGGCCCACTTGCGGTGCATGGAGAGAAGTCTCTGTCGTATCCGGAGAAAAGACTGTGGAGCGTCAGAAACGTTGGATGGGTCACCTCGGTTTGAAGCGTCGTCGCTGCTAGCATAACAAAAGCGGAAATCATCTAAAATTATAAAGTTTTTAAATTGCATAAGCGGAACTGGTTAATAGAATTCTTACTGAAAGTATCATCTTCGAGTAGCCAAGAACAGAACGAACTCACTAGTCTGCAAAAAGATT